CTCTCTCTCTCTCTCTCTCTCTCTCTCTCTCTCTCTCTCTCTCTCTCTCTCTCTCTCATATACCTGCATCCTGCCGCGCCGGCCATTATTTCCATTATCTCTTTATTATAGGGATTCGGCCGTACGGAACATCCACTAGTTGATGAATCTGCCTAATTGCTTAGATACCGCTTGTCGATATTTAATTAGGCCACTAACGAGCCAGTTTCATTGCGCCGAGAAACCCATGATGCCACGAGGTAATTCTCTTCTAACTCGGTATATCGGTTGAATAGATTTTTCCTTCTTGTGATCGAATAAAAAAATTACGTACGCGCGCGACGTACCAGATTTCATTCCCGTTTTACTTGTAAGTTACCACGTAATTACGATGTTAAACCGTGCAAACGGTCGTTCTGAATAAACAGATGGACTACGCAAGACGCACAGTGCGTAGTCCATGCTATATCCGCACGTTCCCGATTTCGACAGAATCTCGAGAGAGTCTACGCCTTTTCATGCCTCGCTGATAATTTCCGGAGTAGTAATAGACCGAACAACCTGTCAGGAATACCGTACAGACCAGCGAGGAGCGCGTGCCTTTGGCGAACCACGTGGGGCGAATGTCAATTAAGTAGCAACATTTGGCGGACGCGTGCATGTGTGTCCGTGAAAACGCGCGAGAATGGATCGAGCCTCTTTCGCAAAAGTCCCTCTGAGAACGGAAAAGAATTTCTCGCAATGAAAGACTTAATTAGGCTTCCGTGCGAATTCGATAATTTCACTTATCCTTTTTTCTTGTCCTTCCTTTCTTTTTTTTAATTAAGAGAAATGATCCTATTTTCTCAAGCCGCATTCATAACCCGTTCTTAAGATCGATTATTTTAAGATCGTCTTAAGTAATGTCTTAAGTAATGTACTCATACGGCTGATTGGTTCATGACATCTTAATACCCGTGTTTAAGATAGTCTTAAATACAAGAATTTATAATGAATATCACCTATAATTGGCTTACATCTTAAAACTGTACTTAAAACAGTTTTAAATATAAGAAATCAAAGATTAACATATTACCAAGGAATACACAAAAGTCAATAAAAAATCAAAATGACTTTATTTCGATTCTTACTGTCAATAAACAGTCCATTTTGTAACTAGAAATTATTATTTTGACTTTCATAGCACGTCAAAATAAAGTTATTTATATTTTCTCTTGACTTGGTGTGTTCCTTGAGTAACGCTTAAATTATTTCGTGAATTTATATACGTACTTATATTACTTACTCAATTCTGTCAACCGCGAGCCGAAATTTGTTTAAATCTTGAAATGCAATGAACAGAACTAGAGCCGTAATATTACATATTAAATTGACAAACAATTTAATAATTTTATTAAGCATCTTATAAGAATATTAATATTTTATAATTTTATGCTAAAATAAGCATCTTTAAAAATTAAATAATTTATTGTAAAAAATATATTACCTCAACATGGATTTTCTCTCTCTTGCTTTTTTTTTCTTTTGTAGTGATGTAATGCCTAACGAGTTTATACTATTGCTTTCTTTGTGGGCGCGATGCGTCCTCTTTATTGCCCGGAAATGATCAGGAAGAAACGACTCTTGTCTATGCGTTCTCTCGACGCACAATTTTCCGAGTGTCGTTAAAGCCCGAGCAAGGAAAGTCAATTTGGGTCGACGACTTTGTGAACAGCAACGGGATAATCAAATTAATAAACACGAAAGGAGAGAATGTATCTCCTCTTTTTCACTTGCTTCGTGTTTTCTCGTTTCGTCGCACGTCTTGATGTGTACAGTTTTTTCTTCGATCTTTCTCTTTTTTCCTTTCTTTATTTTTTTTTCTTTTTTCTTTTTATCGTCGCATACGGCCAAATGCTTGAACGATGACGGCGCTACTTTCTCCTTCGTAACTATTTCCCGTAGTCGATGCGCTTATGTACCATACGCGGAATGTTAAATCCTTCTATCGGTTCTGAATCAGCGAGTTACGTCGCTATTAGAGATAGGATCAAGTTTAATGCATGTACATATAATATGTGTAAATCTCTCAATTCAATGTCTATAGATATCACTTAAGTGGAGTATCTTTTAAGCGAATGCGTTTTACTCAAAAGCAAGGCAATCAAATACATATACATATAGCATCTAATATTGAGAATAACAGAACGTATTTAATGTATATTAAAGACTTTCATGAGCATTTTGAAACATGACTTACGGTCTCTTTTCTGTTCCTGCGCTAGACTACATTAGAACTCTCTTTCTCGCTTTCGACAAATATTAAATATACACCTATTTCACTTTAAGTTCCAAAAATGTACACTGGTTCAGCCACGGAAAACAGCCCTAATGCTGAATAGAGAATCGAAACTGCAAAAAAAGAAACAAAAATTAATTTTTCACGAAAAGAGTGACGCTAAAATCACCTGTTTTTTTTAGCCCATTTTTGGGTACTCGAATTTTTAACTGAATTATACGCTAAAGTACTCTATATGAAGGGACATTAATTTCATAAAAGTTTTAACTTGAGCCTAGCCACCAATTCAGAGATACAGGAGGCTGAAAGTAACACTTTATATGTGAAGTCTCATGGTATAACATCAATAAAACTTTTGCAAAAAGAATGAAACACTTCTTAAACGGATAAAATCACAAAGAAATTAGTGCTCGAAGGATTTCTGAAGACTGATTATAAATACCAGAGATATTCAAAATTCAAAATGAATAACAATTGAACATCAACGACATCATATAAGTACGCTTCAAATAGACCTAAACTTATGTAAATAGTGGATTAAAATGCTATGAGACAATAAGATAAAGTAACACTGTCCTTTCCTTCACTGATGATGTTTCAGAATGGAAGTAGCTCACTTTAAAAGTATCATGAAGATAGTGCCATAAACTGATTGTAGAGGACGGTTTAAGTAGACAATAACTTGAAGCAAATATCAGGTTGTAAGATCATTTGCTTCACAGTTATGCAATCTGAGCAGCACTTCAACGTATGTAACAACATTCATTAATATCAGTATCGTTACACTAGAAGCCCACTGTAAGGCAAACACATTAGGCATGTCGTAATTGTAAATAAGAGTAAGTAAGTCAATAAGAAAATGTAGCTGGTTTTTTAACGCAAGTCTATTGTAAGATGTTGTTCTGTGTAAGAAGCTTTAGTTTATTACAGTTATGGAAAAATTATTTTATTTGGTTCATTTTAATTATTTTTGATTTTTTAAAATCCGTGCTCATATTGATAATAATCAGAAACCCCAAAAAACCCCAAGCGGCATGTTACGAGTGAATCCGAGAGATTTTTAAAAAAGTCGCCCGCCATATTGGATCCGCCATTTTGAATTTTGAATATCTGTGGTATTTATAATCAGAGTCTTTAGAGAAAACCTTCGAGCACTAAATTTTTT